GTCCATGAGACTCTTATCTCCAAGGAACCAACAGAAAACCTGAAGTGGCACTGTGGCTCAAGTGGTAGAGTGCTGCCTTGAGCTGAAGAGCTCAAGCCCCATGACCGACAAGAAAGAAAGAAAGAAAGAAAGGAGGAAGGGAGGGAGGGAAGGGAAGGGAAGGGATGGTAGTAGGCTGGTAGCCCTGGAGAAAGGAGATGGGAGAGGAGGGAGGGGGGGAGAAGGGAGGGAGGGAAAGAGGAGAGGAGGGAGAGAAGAGGACAAGAAGAGGAGGGAAGGGGAGAGGACCTGTGGGTGGCCTTCCTCTGGCTGGTCCGTGACAGGCTTCCCGTGGCTTCCCTCAGATGCCCACGTAGACGCCATTGATCAGGTAGTCCAGGCGGGAGTAGGGCCTGGTGCGTAGGGCGTGGAGCAGCGCCTTGCCCAAGAGGACCAGGCCCAGGGCCAGCAGCAGGACACCGGACAGCAGGGTCCCCAACAGCAGCCACCTCTCCAAGGGGGAGGCGGGGGTGGCGGGGCGCCCCCTGGCCTCCTCGAGTCCCCAGGCCGTGGCCCTGATGGCAGTCGCTGACAGGGAGAGCATGGCAGGGGCCGGCGTGGGTCCCTGGCTTGTGGTCAGCCTGGACGTGGCTCCCCGGGCCTCTGCAGGCGCAGGGAAGCCAGTACTGGGAACCACGAAGGAAGTCCCCGCACGTGGAAAACCCACAGACACCGGCTGGGAGGGGACGGGGGGCTTCTGTGGGGCTCCAGAGTCAGGTGTTGGGGTGGCAGAGCTGCTGGCTGGGGAGGTGGCCCGAGCTGGGTCTGAGGCTTTGGGGGTCCAAGAAGACACGCCTCCTCCCCAGGGCTGGGTGGGCTCCCGGGGAGAGGGGGGTGACGGTGCCTGGGGTCCCCTCAGGGCCAGGGGAGGCCCTGTTTGCTGTCAACTCCTGGTGTGGCAAGGCAGCTCCATGGTCATCTGAGAATGTACAAAAAGAATTGTAAGAGGACCTGGGGGGAGGGGAAGGGCGGTGAGCAAGGAGTGTGCAAAGTGCAGCGAATCCGGCCCATGGTAGGTGTGCAAGGAATGCTTGTAAACCTGACCATCAAAGCCCAGCCCAGCGGGATTGCAAACCAGAAAGTAAAAACAACACAAAGCCTCCTGAGCTGGAGGCGTGGCTCAAGTGGTAGAGAGCCAGCCCCGCCAGCCTGAGGCCTTGAATTCAAACTCCAGGACCTCAAGCAAAACCTGTTTCATAAGCAATGGGTGGGGTGATATAATTCCATGGACTCAAACTCAGGACCTGAGGTCCCAGTTTTTTGCTCAAGGCTAGTACTCTACCATTTCAGCCATAGCTCCATTTCTGGATTTATTTATTTTTTGTCAGTCATGGGGCTTGAACTCAGGGCCTGGGAGCTGTCCATGAACTCTTCAGCTCAAGGCAAGCACTCTACCATTTGATCCACAGTGCCACTTCCAGTTTTCTGGTGGTTATTGGAGGTAAGAGTCTCACAGATTTTCCAGCCTGGGCTGGCTTTGAACTGCAATCCTCAGATTTCAGCCTCCAGCGAGTAACTAGGAATATAGACACTAACCTTCCTGTGTATGCTTCTTTTAATAGGAAGGTATACATAGAATTAACTAAGCAAAGACTTTCACTGGAAAACAAATTTTGGTGTAATGAAATTCAAAATGTGCCCAGTGCCAGTGGCTCATGCCTGTCATCCTAGCTACTCAGGAGTCTGAGATCTGAGCATCACCATTCATTCCTGTCCAGCCCAGACAGGAAACTCCATGAGACTCTTAGCTCTAATAACCTATTAAACACACACACACACACACACACACACACACACACACACACACACACACGAAGTGGTGCTCAGGTGGTAGAGCACTCACTTTGAGCAAAAGAAGCTCAGGGACAGTGCCCAGGCCCAGAGTTCAAACCCCAGGACAAGCAAAAAAAGAAGAAAAAAAAAAAAAAGAAAGAAAGAAAATAAAAAATTCAAATCATACTTAAGAAATCTTAAGGAGAAACTCTCCCACAGACACTGGGTCCTTGCTGGGTGCCGGTAGCTCACGCCTGTCATCCCAGCTACTCAGGAGGCTGAGATCTAAGGATTGGGGTTCAAAGCCAGTCCAGGCAGGAAAGTCCATAAGACTCTTATCTCCAATAAACCACTCAGAAAACCAGAAGTGGCGCTGTAGCTCAAGTGGTAGAGAGCTGGCCTTGAGCTGAAGAGCTAAGGGATAGCGCCCAAGCCTAGAGTTCAAGCCCCATGACCAACAGAAAAAAAAAAAGAAAGAAAGAAACCAGGTCCTTGAAGACTTACCGGGGATGAGTCTGTGTGTGTGGAGCCCGGCGGCCGCTGGCTTCAGGGGACAGGACGCCTTGCTGGGGCAGAAGAACAGGTAACAGTTGGGCTGTCCCTCTGCTTTTCGAGCGTCAAAAATCATCAGATTGCACACTTTGTTTCCTGTGAAGGAAAGTTTGCCAAGGGAGGCTGCTGGGACGGGATCCTGCCTCCCCGGGAGGCCTAGCAGAACCAGCCCGGCCTCTAAAGTCCACCGCAGACACTTGTCCCATTGACCTCTTCCCTTCTCTGTCCCTTAGTTGTGAAACTCTTTGGCAAAGTGAGTGTATGTGTGCCTGTGCGTGCATACCGATACTGGCTTTGAACGCCCAGACTTGTGCTCTTACGTGGCTTTTTCCACTCAAGGTGGGCACTCTATCATGTGTATCACACCACTACTTCCAGCTTTTTGCCGGAGATGAGAATCTCTGGGATTTATCTACCCCAGGTTGTCTTCAAACCTGGATCCTTCTAACTAAGGCTCCAAATAGATATTACAGGTATGAGCCACCGCCAGGGCCTGGCAGGAGGAGTTGTATGTTTGCTTTTGTGCCAGTCCTGGGGCTTGAACTCAGAGCCTGGGCACTGCCTTTGAACTTTCTTTTCTTAAGACTGGCATTCTACAGCTTGAGCCTCAGCTCCCTGTCCAGCTTTTTAGTGGTTTATCGGAAACCACTAAACTCACAGACTTTGCTTCCCCGGTCCGGCTTCAACCCCCTGATCCTCAGATCTCAGCCTCCTGAGTAGCTGGGATGACAGGCATGAGCTTCGGTGCCCAGCCCTCGTACTGCACTCCTGTCCAGTGTGTGTGCCCCCACGTTACTGTCCCCTGCGCCCTGACCTGTGATGTTTTTTGTGGAGCAGCAGCGACGGAGGCAGTCTGCCTGAGACAGGGCATGGGTGGGCTCCTCGCCCCGGATGCCTCTGGCAAGCGAGGACTGGATGTCAATGACCACGTCCTCCAGGCTCTGGGACAGGCACTTTTGGCCGGCCGACAGCCGGAGGGTCAGCAGGCTGAGGGTCACCAGGGTGTACAGCCAGCTGCAGTCTTCCATGGGAAGCATCGTGGCCCCCAGAGGTGGAAGGTGACACCCTGGCAGGCTCAGCCACCCAGAGAACTCTCTCTCTAGAACAGAAATAGAGAAAGCCATTAATGAGTTCTGTCTATCATCCATCTATCTATCCATCCAACTATCCATCCATCCATCTGTCCATCTATCTATCCATCCATCCGTCTATCCAACTATCTATCCATCTGTCCATCTATCTATCCATCCATCCATCTGTCCATGCATTCAACGATTCTATCTATTTATCTTCCTATCTACCTATCTATTTTTGCTAATCCTATGTCTCAAACTCAGGGCCTGGGCGCTGTCCCTCAGCTCTTTCACTCAAGGCTGGTGCTCTATCATTTGAGCCACAGCTCCACTTCTGGTTTTCTGGTGGTAAGAGTCTCACGGACTTTCCTGCAGGGGCTGGCTTCGAACTGCGATCCTCAGCTCTCAGCCCCCAGTGGCCTCGCTGAGTTTTAAGAACCGCGAGAGGAGCCCTGGCCTGCAGGTGCTTGGACACCGGCCCGGTTCCCACCGGCCAGCACCTGAATCCACCCGCGGCCGAGGGGGCGTGGGGAGGGGGGGGTGGTGGTGTGGGGGGGTGTGTGGGTTGTGCGCAAGGCGGGGTGCATGGCTTGCTGGGGTGCGGGGATGCACGGGGAAGGGGTCCCATACCCGGCGGTGGCGGCTCCGGCTCGGCATCCAGTTCCTGCTTCCGCCTGGGGCGGAAAGTTTGCAGTGGGGACAGCGCGGCCCCGGGTCCCGCCCCGCCCCCGCCCCGCCCCCGGAGCGTCTCCCCGCCCCCTCCCCCTCCCCCGCTCCGCTCTTCCAGCGGCCCCAGTGTCAACACCACAGCCCGCTCGCTCTCCCGGACACTCCGGGACGCGGTCACGGCAGGCCTCTACCTGGCGCCCGGCACACTGCCGGCCCCAGTGGGTGTGGAGTCCGGAGTCAGGACAGCCATCTCCGGATAATCCCGGGCAGCGCCGACCCCGACCCCGCGCAGCTCCCACCCGGGCTCGCGGGGGCTCGCGGCACCAGCGCGCCGGGGGGCGGCGCGACCCCGCAGTTGGTGCAAGTTGGGGGCAGGTGGGCGGTGCTTACAGCAGATGGGCGGTGCTTCAGGGAGAGTAGGCGTGGCCAAAACAGGTGGGAGGTGCTTACAGGGGAGAGTGGGCTTGACCATCACAGGTGGGAGGTGCTTACAGGGAATAATGGGCGTGGCCACGGCAGATGGGCGGTGTTTGCAGGCAGGAGTGGCCACGGGTGTGAGTGTGGGCGTGTAACCACGGGTGGGCGGAGCGTATAAGTGATTGTGGACATGGCCACAGCAGATAGGCCGCGCTCACAGGTGGGCGTGCCCACACGGGTGGGCGGTGCTTGCAGGTGAATCTGGGCTTTCTAGCTTTGGGGGCAGTTCAGGCCCGGGGGGAGGGGCTCTGGCTCTTTAAGGGGGCGTGGCCACGCCCCTCGCGCGCTCATCCCCCCCGCCCCTCCTCAAGGGGCGTGGCCTCCCGACCCGGAACTGAAGCCCGCGTCCCGGAAGCAGCACGCTGAGGCATCCGAGACCTGAGGGAAGCGGCGCCGCCCGCTGACATCCACTTTCCGCCTTCGTTCTCCGGGCTCCCCGGAGCCCGGGAGCCGCGGGCCAGGCCTCGCCGCCCGCCAGGCTCCGGCCCGGGCGCGGCCCACCCTCCCTGCGCCGCCGGAGCCATGGGCAGCGAGCAGAGCACCGAGGCCGAGGGCCGCCCCAGCGACCCCAGCTCAGGTCGGGGCGCGGGCCGGGCGGCGTGGCGGGGCCGGGCGGGGCCGGGCGGGGCCGCCCTCACCGGACCCGGCTAACGCGGCACGCGGGGGCCTCGATCCAAACAGGCCCTGGCATAGATCTAGCGCAGACCCCGCGGCAGCCGCTGGCGGCGGTTGACTTGGCTGTTTCCCGGGAAGCCGAGCGTCGGTCTCTGCCTGCAGCAGGGGGCGGGGCGGGGGCGGGGCGGGGGCGGGGCTGGTGTGGGTTGGGGGCGGGGCTGGCGGGGGCGGGGCTGGTGTGGGTTGGGGGCGGGGCTGGCGGGGGCTGGGGGCGGGGCTGGTGTGGGTTAGGGGCGGGGCTGGTGGGGGCTGGGGGCGGGGCTGTTGTGGGTTGGGGGCGGGGCGGGGGCGGGGCTGGTGTGGGTTGGGGGCGGGGCTGGTGGGGGTTGGGGGCGGGGCTGGCGGGGCGGGGCTGGCGGGGGTTGGGGGCGGGGCTGGCGGGGCGGGGCTGGCGGGGGTTGGGGGCGGGGCCACTCCCCGCTCTGCCCAGCCCTTCACCTGCGCCTCTCTCTGAGGCCGCGTCTTGAGTACAACCTGGGAAGCCGGAGAGCATGTTGGAAGACCCCCCCTTTATCTCCCCCTCCACTCCTTATCCCTTCCCCCCTCCGAGAATCACGTTAAGTCGGTGGCGGGATGCTACGCACATTTCCAGAAAGAAGTGAGGGGACTTTTCCTGAGGCGGAGTGAAGGTAGCAGAGATCGGCTCATTTTCCCCAAAACAGCTCGAGAGGAGCTGCGGGAAGACGGGCCAGCCCCGAGGTGTGACTGAGAGCTGGGAATTAACTACATCCTCTAGATCGCAGAATAGAGCTCAGTCCATCCTCACGGATGGCCAGAGCAGATCTGGAGGTGACTTGGCAAAGGGACCCTGCTGTGACTTGAGTTTTCTTTCATCCAGCCAAGTGACCAAGTCATAAAGCCACGCTTGGGGGCGGGGAGACCCTCGCCAGCTGCTGCTCTTCCACAGCCAACAGAACCAAACTTAGTGTGCATGCTGGATGGGGTGACAGGATGGGGACCATGGTTACCACTGACAACAGATCTAAGGCATCCCAAACACATAGGAACATTTTATAATTCAGCATGGAACATCCAGACAGATAGTGTTTTAAATTTCTCCTTTGATTCCAGATCCTCCTGACTTAGTGGTCCCTAATTTTACAGGTAGGGATGTGAGGATGTGATATTTGGCTGTGTTCTGCCTGAGAAAACAGTGTAGAAACAGAGTCAGGAAAGCACTGGATTTCACCACAGGCCACAGAGCTGCGGCCCCAGCACAGCCCACCAGGCTCCCTTAAGATGGCCTGGGCCCAGCCACAGGTGGGCCCCAGGACAGGCGGCAGTAATGAACTGGTGTAGTAATCAATCAGTAGCGTAGTAATCAGTCAGTGCAGTAATTAGCAGCGTAGGCTGAGGCACATTGCAGGCATCTGGGACTGCTACCAAGGCAGGTCCACTTCCGGTCTCTTGGATGCATGTGTCTGTGCGGGCCTCCTTGCTTACTCCCTCGTCCTGTCCTAAGCGCACACGCTGTGTTATGTAAAAGTGGGCTTGCTGATGGCGTGGGAAGCCTCTTTGCTGGGCTGTGGCTCAGGGCAGCCGGCCAGCTTTCTTGAGCCGTCTAACTCTTTCTAGCAACCCCTCCTGCCAAGCACCGAGCCAAGATGGGTGACATCGTGGTGGTGGCTCAGGGCTCGCAGGCCTCGCGGAACGTCAGCAATGACCCGGACGTTATCAAGCTGCAAGAGATCCCAGCTTTCCAGCCCCTTCTGAAAGGTGAGGGCTGGGCTCCGTCCTGGGCCAGCCTGTGGGGGTCAGCCACGAGCCCCATTTGCTTGTCTCCCACCACCATGCCCCCTTGCCCTGTTTATGACTGCAGCCTAGTTTTCTCGGCAGTGAGTTGGTGGACCACTTTGTGCCCATTTTTGTTAAGCCTGCACCCCATTGCTCCGGGCCTGCTCTCCCCTAAGAAGGGTTTGGCAACCTGAGCACCACCACCCGGGCAGGGAAACGAGCACAAGGCCTTGACTGACTTGAAAGACCAAAAAAGTACCATAAACAGCCATGAGAAAGCCAGGTGCTGTAGCTCACACCTGTAATTCCAGCTGCCCTAGGAGGCTGAGATCTGAGGATAGCAGTCCAATGTCAAAAGTGGTGCTGTGGCTCAAGGGGTAGACCACCGGCCTTAAGCAGAAGAGCTCAGGCTCTGACACACACACACACACACACACACACACACACACACACACACATACATACACTATACAAACAGTAAGTGAGGAGAGTCAGGCTGGACCGAGAGCTCGCCAAGAGCGCTCTCCCTTTCCCACGACCTCATTCTTTCCCAAGATTGTTCTCTCCTCCAAGGTCAAGTGGGGACTTTCCGTGTCCTCTGTGCCCAGACCTTCATCCTCTGTGCTTAGACCCTTCTGCCACTAGGTGGCAACAGACAAAGCGCCTGGCAAGTGGATCCGCGGCGCCTCTGGGTAATGTTTCAAAGGCCTTCGGGCAGTAACACTGGCTCTGCAGTGTCCTGATTTCCTGGAAACCAGGTCACAGCTCAGCTCAGCGCAAGCTCGTGGGAAAAGCATACACAGCTTGCCACACTCGGGTGTTACGGCAGAAGCCACAGGAAACATGTTACTGACCTTTTTTTGTTGTTGTTGGTTGTGGGACTTGAACTCAAGGCTTGGGTGCTGTCCTTGAGGTCTTTTGCTCAAGGCTAGCACTCTACCATTTGAGCCACAGCTCTACTTTTCCTGTCCAGGCTGGCTTCAAACCTCAATCCTCAGATCTCAGCCTCCCAAATAGCTGGGATGACAGGTGTGAGCCACTGGCGTCCGGCTTGGGTTGTTTCACCACTGAACAGCTCCCTGCTACTCCCCCCTTCCTCTCCCCCCCCACCACCTCGGGCACCCCCCCCAACCTCACCCCTACACCTGGTGAGCGGCCCCTGCAGCTTCAGGGTCTCTGATGCCCATCTCCCTGCAGCTGGGCGTGTAGGGCAGGTCCAGAGCACGCATGCTACGGTTGTTGTCTATGACCACGGCAGCCACGCTTCTGTAGACATCGTGTCGTGACCTCCTGTACCTCATGATTCTCCTGAATGCTTACAGTACTTACAAGCAAGAGCCTGGAGCTCGGGGCAGTGTCTCCGGCTCAGACCCCAAGTTCCCCAGTGCCAGGGCACGTGTTCTTCCCGGCTGCATGATCCGGGTCTCAGCTCGGGCCTGTGAGTCTCAAGCTGATGAGGAAGGGGAAGGGCGGGTGGGCAGGCCAGCAGTGAAGGAGCCAGGAGACACCTCACTCCATTGGTGGACCCTGGGGGCGCTGGGTACCACGCCTACTCCGGTGGAGTCAGCTGGGTCTTGTCACCTTCGGCTCTCATGGTCTTTCATCCCCACTGCTGTGTTCCATGACCATCCACATGGCCCAAACTGGCTGGGCCAGTGTCCGAGAGCCCAGTAACCCCCATTCCCAAGGCGGCGAGGTGAACGGATGGTGCCTGTGGAGGTGGAGGCTGTGAGCGTGTGTGGGGTATGGTGCATGCAGCTCAGCACAGCCCGGCCTGCATTCCCTGCGTGGAAGGCTGGTCTGAGCATGGCTGTGAGCAGTAACCTCTGCCCCATTGTCCCTGTCCCGTGACTTCTGCCCACCACCCTGGACCTGTGACCTCCACCCCACCGCCCCCGTCCCGTGACATTTCCCCTACCACCCCCATCCCGGCAGGGCTCCTGAGCGGCCAGACCTCACCGAGCAACGCCCGTCTGGAGAAGCTGGACGCACAGCAGGTGCTGCAGCTGTGCCTGCGGTACCAGGACCACCTGCACCAGTGCGCAGAGGCCGTGGCCTTCGACCAGAACGCCCTGGTCAAGCGGATCAAGGAGGTAAGGCACTGGGGCCACCAGCCCCCCTCCCACTGGGCAGCGGGGAGAGCTGGCCATGCCCCTGGGGCCCTTCGCCAGGAAGCGCTGCCACATCACGTGAATCTAAGTAACAGTGTTGGCAGATTCTTGTTAACCTTAGAGCACATTTGACGTCCGTTCCTCCTTCCTCGCCCTGAAATGGTGAAGTGAGTTGGACAGGTTACTCTAAAACAAGAGACCCGGATAGCACATTGCTGGATGTTTCTAGAAAACGTGGAGCTCCCTTTCTGTCTCACAGGTGGTCTCTGTATTCAGGCTGAGAGTCTGCAGTGTCATTACTAACTTCCCCCTGGTCTGTGGTGAGAAATCCAGCCGGTCCCATGGCGCCAGGAAATGTGGCAAAATGGGTGGTGGCAGGAAATGTGGCTGATTGTGTCTGTGGTGTCAGGAAACGTAGCAAGATTGTGGTCCATGGCAGCAGGAAACGTGGCTCGTTGTGGCCCCTGGCTGGCAGGAAATGTGGCTGTTGTGGTCCGTGGCAGCAGGACACGTGGCGAGGGTGGGCTCGTTCTGGCCTGCCTCTGAGGAGGTAAACCGCTTTCCCTGGGCCTGGCCCACACTTCCTTCACCCCAGCGCTGCCCAGGCCCAGGGATCCCAGTGAGGCCCAGCCCGGATGACCCCCTGCCTGTGGAGACACAGGCTGTATTCTTTGGCAAAGAGCAAAGCCCAACATTTAAATGTGATTTAACCCTATCCAGGCCCTGCACTGACAAGTGAGCAGGTGTGAGCAGCACCATTTCCCGCTTCAGTGAGATCCCATTAGCTGGTCGCAGGCGCTGGAGCCCCGAGTCGCCCCGCCCCGCCCCATCCTGCCCTGCCCAGGTTTGCAGCCAGTTCACAGTCTGCCCGCACGCCCGAGAGGTGCTGGCAGAGGCCGGGCTGGCGGCCACATCTGGGCAGCTGGGCTGCAGGAAGGGACGAGGCAGCTGTGGATGCTTTGGAGTGGCGAGGTGGCCTGTGGTGCTGGCGGCCCCCATTTTTCTGTACTTTACAAAATCTCCACCTGAAACATGGATTCCTGGGGGTTCCCTCAGCTGTGTGAGCCACCCAGAGTCCTCCCTGCCAGGGCCCCCCTCCCTGCCGGCAGCGCTGTGTGTTCAGTATGGTTGGGCTGGACAGTCGCCTGTCCCCCGAGTGTGATTCGGCTGGTGTCTGTCCCCCAAGTGTGAGCTGGCCGGTGTGTGTCCCCCGAGTGTGTGCTGGCCAGTCACTGACTGGCAAGTCATGACGTGGCCTTGGCCGTGGTTTGGGGAGGGTGGTCGGGGTCCCCACGGGGTTGCCAGCTCACAGGAGCAGAGTGGAGCCACGCGTGGCCCCGGCGTAGCCCCGCAGCTCCCTGTGGTGGCGGTGGCAGTGGCCGAGGCTCACGCCCGCCGCTTCTCCGTTGCCTCCGCCCGCAGATGGACTTGTCGGTGGGCGCCCTGTTTGGCTCCATGCAGGAGCGGCAGAAGCGCTTCGCCAGGTACGCCGAGCAGATTCAGAAGGTGCAGGAGATGTCGGCCATCCTGCGGCGCGTGCAGCTGGGCATCGACCAGACCCTGCCGCTCATGGAGCGGCTCAACAGCCTACTGCCCGAGAGCGAGCGGCTGGAGCCCTTCAGCATGAAGCCCGAGCGCCTCTAGAGCAGCCCCCCGGCCTCTCCCCTTCCTCTGCCTGGCCAGGGGCACTGGGGCACAGGTGGGGGGAGAGCAGCTGGGTCTTGGCCACCAAGGCAGCCTCCCCTCCCCTGCCCTCGTGGACGGCGCCATGCCAAGTGGGGCCCCTTAGCGTGGCCGGGGTTGGGACGTTGGGATTGTTAGGAATTCCTCAAAGAACCCCACAGTGTTGTTTTCATTTCACGTTTAAAGCAAACCAAACGTGCACCGTGTAGGGACAAAAATGGACATGTGGAAGGAGGGGGTGGGAGAAAACTGAGGGGCGCCCCGGGCTCCAACTTGGGCTGGGAGTGGACAGTCCCCCCTCACGGAGCCTGTGCACTCCTTGCGCTTTGCCCCCCGCTTTGAGCCTGTCCGTGAATGCCGTGGCCGTGGGGCGCCTTGCTCCTCGCGTGGAGTCTCCTGTGAACCCTGTGGTCCTGGGGTGCCTTGCCCCTCATGTAAAGCCTGTCCCATGAATACCGCGGCCGTGGGGCGCCTCTCTCTCTGTGAGGCTGGAATGGGGACCTGCGCAGCCGGCGATGGAAACAAAACCTGGGCCCAGGGCACCACCCGGGCAGCACACCAGGCTTCGAAGCGGCCTCCAGATGCTCCTCAGATGGGACCCAGCCACACCTCACTCAGCCCAGCCGCCATGCCTCGTCCAGCCTAGCTACGCTGTCTCCACCTCCCATGTGGGGTGTTTGTAGAAAGTCTTTTATTCTAAAACAAGTCAATAAAAGGAGCGATCTCACCCAGAAACAGCCCGCTCTGACGTGTGGGTGCCTCACCTTCCAGGAGCCACGTACACAAAGCCCCTGCCTCAGAACATTGGTTCCCATGGAACCCTGGGCTCTTCCCAGAGGTCCCTGCAGAGGAAATCAATGAGCTGGGCACCAGTGGCTCAGGCCTGTCATCCTAGCTACTTGAGAGGCTGAGATCTGAGGATCACAATTCGAAGCCAAAAAGATCTATGAGACTCTTTATCTGCCACAAGCTGTGGCTCAAGTAGTAGAGCGCCAGCCTCGAGAACAGCTCAGGACAGCACCCAGCCTGGGTTCAACCTCAGGACTGGCATGTGGCATTGTAATATTTGTCAGTCATGGGGCCTGGACGCTGTCCCTGAGCTTTTCAGCTCAAGGCTGGTGCCTATCACTTGAACCACAGTGCCACTTCCGCTTTTCTGGTGGTTCATGGGAGATAATAGTCTCTTGGACTTTCCTGCCCAGGCTGGCTTTGAACCTCAACTCTCAGTCCTCAGCCTCCTGAGTAGCTGGAATGACAGACAAGTATCACTCCCTGGCACTCCGCCCAGGTAACTTTTTATTCATGCTGCTTGCTAACAAGAGGCCCTAGGTGCAAACATCAGTATTGCGAGACACCGAATCTAATGGCCACTGGGAGCAGCCAGGGCTCTGGTGTGCAGTGTTGTGGGAGGGCGCCGTGGCCATTCCTGTCCTGGGGACCCTCTGAGTGCTGCCATGAGGCCTGGTGTTTACCAACCCCAAATCACTTTCCATCAGCAACTGAGGCCCATTCTTTCCGTTAGTCATGGGACTTGAACTCAGGACCTGAGGTCTTTTTGTTCAAAGCTATCATTCTACCACTGGAGCCACACCTCCACTTCTGGTTTTCTGGTGATTCACTGGAGATCAGAGTCTCAAGGACTTTCCTGCCCGGGCTGGCAATGAACTGCGATTCTCAGCCCTCAGCCTCCTGAGTAGCTGGGATGACAGGCGTGAGCACCGGCGCCTGGCTCACACATGCTTTGCACTAATCTCCTATTCATGTAAATACATCACACAGGTATGTATGAAAATGGGGAGAACAGATTTTTTTTGGGGGTGGGAGGCAGGGGCCAGGGTTGAACTCAGGGTCTTGGGCCTGCACGGGGTCAGCCCACATCATATGACCACATCATCACTGGCCTCACATCTGACACCAGGGTCTGAAGGCTGAGGGCCAGGCCCATGGGACAAAGGCTGGGGATGAGGGACGAGAACGGGGTCCCATACCGCAGACACGCCCGCACCTGCGTGTACACAGGCACAGTTCTGACTTTATTTCATATTAACAGACAAGACATCACATGAGAAACGCACAGCGCAGCTCCCACACGTCCCACCCTCGCTCCGCTGTGGTCATGGGTGGCCCCACAAGGACCACGCCCGGGAGCGGCAGGTGACGCGGCAGGGCTTGCCTGGGGCTGGCGAAGGCCACGTGTGGTACCGAGGGGGAGGATGCTGCCTTCCCGACATGTCTGACCCACTCCAGACGCAGCTCCGCAGGGCGCGACCAGGTCTCCTCTGCCTCACTTTACCCCACTCAGCATCATTCTTAAGCACAGAGGCCCCACCACCAGGTCCTAAGTCAGAGCCCACCACTTTTCAGACCAACCCAGGAGCTGGTGCGGAGGAGCCTCGGTGCCTGGCTGGGCGCCTGGCGCTGCCTCCTCCATCTCCCCGGCTTTTTCTCACTAAGTCGTTTCCTAGGAGATTCCGCCTTGATACATTTGCACCATGGATCAAGTGGAAGATGCTCAGCTGAGCCAAGAGCCCTGCAACCTGTGCTTCACGTCCACATGGGGCCTCCAACCCGTCCCAGCCTCGGTGCAGAGGCCTGGGGGATGGAGGACAGGCCGTGGGCAGCGGGGATTCTGTGCCATCGGTGGGGCCGTGGCATGAGGTGGTACTGGCTTAGATCTGGGGAGGCCAACCTGGGACAGGATGGTCTCTCGTGGACTCACCCCTGGCTTCTGCCTTCACTGGCTCCGGGGCTGGCTCGGCCTCCGCCGGAGGAGCCGAGCCATGACTGAAGGTAGTCTCCGTGGGCAGGGCGTGGGGTCGGTGGGCTGCTTCTGCAGGGGCGTGGGCTCCGGCTTCTGCCCTGGCCCCACCGGCCTCTCCCACCATGGCTCCACCTTCCAGAAACAGCCATGGCTGTGTGGACTTCAGCTGTGCAGGGAACGCATCGGGGAGCCGGTGGAGGCCCTCAGGACACTTCGATGACCTCCATGCTGCCCGAGAAGCTGGACTGGCTGCCCACTGTGCCCAGCTCCTCTCGTGAGCGGCTGTCGGCCACCAGGCCCTCCCCGAACTCCATCTGGCAGCTCCTGCGCTTCAGCTGCTTCTCGAAGGGGCTCTCTTCATGCCAGCTGCGCCGCGAGTCTCCGCGCTCGCTGGGCCGCGGCCGTCTGCGCACCGAGCCGCCATGCTCGCCCGTGGGCAGCTGGCTGCAGCTGTAGGCCGAATAGCTGGCCCTGGCGCCGTACATGGCTGAGGCCGCGTAGAAGTGCGGGGGCTCGGTGGCGAAGTACCAGCCGCCGGCCAGCGTGGGGGCCGCGGCCTGCGGGGCCAGTGTGTCCGAGTGCCAGCCCTTGAGGCCCAGCCCCGCGGCGGACTTGGCCAGGTGCTGCTGGCTGGTGGACAGGCCGAGGAGGAAGCCAGCGCGGCCAGTGTCCTCCACGCTGCCGCTCCGCTGCAGCGGTGCAAAGGGCAGCCGGGGGGGTGCCCCTGTCCTCGCGGGGTGCTGGCGCTGGCCCTGGCTGGCCGGGGCCTGCGGGGGCTGCGGCGGCTCCCCATCGGGGCTGCTCTCCGGCGTCTGCTCTGACACCTCCCGCACGGGTGAGAAATGGCTGTGCTTGGCGGGACCATCGAGCGTGGCAGCGGGTTTATACGCATCCGCTGTGTCCTCACGCGCGATCGCGCCTGTCGAGCAGGACACGGACTTGATGTCCAGCGAGAAGGAGCGCTTGAGCCGCTGGCTGTCCTCTGGCTCCGGGGCCAGCTGGAGGCCCCCGAGGGCCTGCGCCAGGGGCCCGGCCTCCACCAGTGCACTGGCCGTGGTGGCCGCAGGCCTCGGCCGGGCCTCCAAGGCAGCACTGAGGGCCCAGGGGCCGCTGCGGGGTGGCTCGCCCCCGTGTCCACTCTCTGGGGCAGCCGCCGCGGGCTCCAGCGGCTTCTCCAGGTGCAGGAGCTTCAGTTTGCCCTTTGGCCCCACGCCAGGCTGCGTCTTGATCTTCTTCTCGTAGTCCAGCAGCTGGCCCAGGAAGTTAAAGTTCGGAGAGATGGTTGGCCTTTTCTCCTTCACAAACCTACGGAAAGAGGATGAGGCCAGGAGCCTGAAACCCACGGCAGCTGCTGATCTTAAGGATTTTCTTTTTTGCCAGTCCTGGGTCTTGAACTCAGGACCTGGCAATGTTCCTGAGCTCTCACGGTCTCTGTGCTCAAGACTAGCGCTCTACCATGTGAGCCACAGCTCCATTGCAGGCTTTGTCTCTGTGTGGTACTAAGAAATAGAACCCATGCATGTTAGGCGAACACTTTACCATTAAGCCACATTCCCAGCTAAGGATTCTAATTTTCTTTCTTTCTTTTTGTCAGTTGTGGGGCTTGAACTCTGGGCCTGGGCGCTGTCTCTCAGCTCTTCAGCTCAAGGTTGGAGCTCTACTGCTTGAGCCACAGTGCTACTTCCAGTTTTCTGGTGGTTTATTGGAGATAAGAGTCTCACGGATTTTCCTGCCCCGGCTGGCTTTGAACCGTGATCCTCAAATCTCAACCTCCTGAATAGCTAGGATTATGGGCGTGCCCACTGGTGCCCGGATTTTTCTTTTTTTCTTGCTGTGGAGCCTGAGCTGGACCTCCTGCCCTGGCCTCCCACATGCTGAGATTACAGCAGTGGGCCCTCCCACCAGGCTCTATCTTAGGAAGACTGGGTGAGTGAAAGGTGGGGGAAAGGGCAGGACAGAGCTACAAGCATCAGCTCGACGTTCCAGCTCTGCCAACTCTGACCCACGGCTTCCAGCATGATGGACAGGGGACGGTCCTGTGCTGGTAACCAGGGAATCCGAATGCCCGGGCTCCATGAGGAGTGCAGTTGAGGTACGGGGCCCTCGTGGCTACTCAAGTCTGAGGCTTAAGATCTGAGGATGATGGTTCAAAGCCAGATGGACAGACAGACCTGACTCACCCACTCTCCTCTCTCCCTGGCTGGAGCTGATGCTGCAGCCCAGCTCATGCACACGCACAGCACCCCCTCTCTGTGGACCGGGGCGGTGGCGCTCACCTGTAGGCCTCGTCCAGGGGCATGTCCATCCGCTTCATGATGTAGGCGATGGCGATGGTGGCGGAGCGGGAGATGCCGGCCAGGCAGTGCACCAGCACGCAGCCGTTGCAGGCCTTCGCTTTCTCTGCACAGTCAAAGCCAACAAAGGAAACGTGAGACTTGCTGCGCCTCCTCCCCTGGTCCTGGGAGTGAAGACACCATCGCACCCGCGCACCAGGGCGGTGGAGGCCCTGGGCGGCCAAGGCCAGCGCGCGGCTCTCCGGGGCAGCCTGGCTGTTGTTTGAATATGTCCTGCCTGCTAAGTATGGGAAACCTGAGAAACACAGATGCGCACGTGGAAGGGGAAGTGTGGCCTCTCCTGACCATAGGACGTGGGGTTTTGTTTCCTGTGTCACTGGACCTCTCGTATTGCCCCGAGTGCACGGGAGAGGGGCTAGCTAAAATCAGTCTCCATCTCCGATGTCCCAGCCGCCATCGCAAGGAGGACTGGTCCCAACTCCTCACCGTAACACTGGAGATGGTTATTTTGTGGGTGGTGCTGGGTTAAGTCTGTATTTCCTTAGGACACGTCTGTGTGTCCTGCAGATTGAACCGACTGGAGTTTGATGACAAAGCCACCACACCATGTGCCCCTTGCTGCCAGGCGACCGCGCGTTGCCTCTGTTGGGTTTTGTCAGCACCCCTAAAGAG